CTATTTTAGCACTTAAAATACGTGGAATCATGCTTGGACACACGTTCACGGGCTCAAGCAATGGCAGATCTCGTCTGGTTGAATCCTCGGATTCAGAATTTGCATATACACAAAGGGCTGAGTATTAATTATACTGGGATGTCTGACTGCGTGGAGGGTTGGCGTCCCTAAGCCCCGCGAAGTGCAAGGGCCAACTGTATATATGCCTTCTTGTCTGGCTTCGCTCCTAGCACACCGCAGTGGAAATCCATGGAGCTTGTAGCTGGATCAGCAGTCCGTTGCATCTCATGTCTGCGGAGCGCCCTGTCCACTGATGCTGGTGCCAGCGTGGGTCTCCATCGTCCTGGTGATACCTGGACTGGAGTCGGTGGTGACTGTGTGTGAAATTGCTAGAAAATTTGTGTAGATGATCTGTTTTTATTTGTAAGTATTAGGTGTATCCATCTTCGTCCCGTGTTCCAAATAGCTTTTCATTTACTTTCCAACTGTTACGCTGTGTTTTTCCATCAGTGGCTCCCACTCTGCCTTCTGGGTCTCCTGTCAGAGTGATCGAAGCATCATCTGCCCTCACATTATAAACATGTTCACCCTCGGGGCACCCGCCTTTCCCTCCATGGCAGGAGTGAGGTGAGGGGGGCCCTGCTCCCCACACATTCTCCATTCCCAACTTGCTTCTATTTCCTTTCTGCCCACCCGCCTGGGTCGCCCTGTGTCATGGACGCCTTGTTCTCGATACAGCAGCCTCGTCATGTATTTTAATATCTGGTGGTGCTGGAGCCCTTTCTTGAGTTTGCTTTTTAAGAAATTTCCCAGCTATTCTTGCTTTGATGTTCCACTAAGATGATTCATCTTGAATCATGGAGTTATGTACCAGGAAAGAATCCAGCGGGCTTTTTATTGTGATCACAGAGATGTTACAGATTCATTTGGGGGCGAGAGCCCATCTGTCCAGGATACAGGAAGCACGAGGGGACGACAGAGGGTGAAGATGCCTCTCAGGTTGCGGAGAGTGAGTAGACTGGGGCCTGGGGAGGGGGGCGCTATTCAGGGCACGTGGACTGCCTTCCACTGAGCAGGACGCAGGGCTGGGGGCACATTGGGGAGTCTAGTTTGGAGAAGGCTATGGAGGTGGGCCTGCAGGAAGACACCCAGGAGGTGAATGCCTGGTACCGGCACCTTCTCTCATTCTGGAGTGCATCCTCCACTGTGGGAGCAGGCCTGGGCCTTCAGGGCTCGGTGTGTTCTGTCCCTGCCCACCCTCTCCCCTCTCCTGCCTAAACCCGTCCTTGCTTGTTGCGCCCCACAGACCTTGCCCTTGGGGTCTCCAGGAGGCTGTGCCTGCTTTAAGAGAGGAGGGAGGCCCTGGGGTCTCACATAGCTCTTTGGGGACTTCTGGCAGTTTCTCCTGGGGTTGGCCTCACACTTGGGGAGGGGGCGATGGGATAGGGTGTGCAGGGAGTACCTGCTGCTAGTGACTGTGGTTCTTTCTGCACCTCCATTGGCAGGCTTCCAGGCATCCATCTGTAGTCTCCTCAGGAGCTTCAGGCTGAGGACCTCTGCCTCCTGGTCCTCTCAGCCAGGTGTGGCGGAGCCTGTGAGGGATTCCAGTCAGCCTACCATCTGGAGCAGATGAGGGACATCCAGCCACCTCCAAGCTCTTTTGCTCTTCAAGGGTCTAGAGCTCCTCAGCCTGATGTGTTGGCCAGTCCGGCAGCGTTACCTTGGGGACTAAAACCTTAGGCCACCCCCTTTCCCCAAGCTCCAGGCTCTTCTTGGTGGGGATGTGAAGAGGCTAAGAAGGTGGGGTTCAGGCTCATGAACCTATTTGTCTGCTCAGGGAAAGAAACTGGAAGACAGGGGAGGGTGCGGAAGTCCCAGGGGAGTGAGAGGAAGTGGTGGAAGGCGCAGGGTCTTCTTGCGGGTGACAGGAGGAGATGGATCTCAAGTCTCAGAGGTGGAGAGAGGGCCAGGCCGCAGGCCAGCGGGGAGAAAGGGCCCCAGAGGACTGTGATTCCCAGGAGCCAAGAGGCAATCTTTTCTGGAAGGGGAGGGTCCCATGCTGCTGGAGGGGCAGGTCCATGGGGAGTGAAGAGCTTGGATTGATTTGGCGGCCAGGAAGGGGCAGCACACGCAGCCACATGGCTCTGGGCTGAGGAGAGAGTGGGAGGGGGCAAAACCGGGGCTGAAAGGGCTGTGGCATCGAGGGTCTTTTGAACACCTGGGGAGAAGTCAGCAGAGGAGAAGCTGAGGCACAGGGGAGGGGAAGCCAAGCCATGCAGAATAGCAGGGAAGGGGCAGCCTGGCCAACTGCCACTGAGGGAGCAGGGGTGGGACTGCAGGGGTGCCAGGCTGGGGCTGGGAGGCAGCACGTGCTCAGGGAGCCGTCTATACCGCTGTCCACGCTGGCTCATCTTGAGGTCACTGTGGGAAGTGAATCCTCTGGGAGTAGAAGATGGAACCAGCTCAGTGGGCAAAGTTCTGCTTTTATTTAGGGCTCGGAGGTCAGCCACTGTGACGCCTGGTGCTCTCGGGTGAGCTGAGGAGGGCCCCTGGCAGCCCGGGATGGGGGAGCCACAGGACACCATGCCTGTCTGGCTGTGAGCATGTTGCTGGGGGGGGGGGGTCCAATACACAACCAGAGGACGCCTTCCACCCGCCCCCACCCCAGCACACCGGGAAGCAGGGCCTGGGGACAGGGCCCTGGAGTGACTCAAGAGACGCAGCAGGCTGGGACACTCGAGGCTTCCCATGGAGGTGCTGCCCGTGAGGGGCAGGGTGACAAGAACAAAGGCCGTGGGGCCTGCCTGGTGGCGCAGGCAGTTGAGCGTTGCATTGTGGAGCTGTCCACAGCTTCTGCAGTGCCGGTTCGATCCTGGCCGGCCACGGAGATACCCACATGGTGCGGCAGACCTCTCCTGTCTCGCCTGCTGCTCCCCTCAGCAGTGTGTTTCATCAGTCTGCCTGTTCTGTTCCCCACTCTGTCTCTGGTGAATCCTCTCACCCTCCTGCACCTCTGTCTTGTACCCTAGCTCTGGTATAAATAAATAAATCTTTAAAAAGAAAAAGAGCCTGCCTCTTCTATTAAAAAAAAAAACAACAACAAAGGCCGTGAGGGGGGTGTCATGGCTGAAGGACACAGTGGGAGACATCTGGGACCCAGATCTAGGAGGAATGCTCTGCAGGAGGGAGGAAGGGGCAGGCCAAGAGCCAGGGCTTCTGGGTAATGACGTTTCCACCACCCATGGCCTGCGGGCTGGGAGGCCTGGTTCCACCCCCTAGTCATAGCCATTGAGAGTGGTGGGTGGCGGCTTCTTCTCGGAGCAGTTTAGGGTCCATTGAACGGGGCAGGCCTGCCCAGAGGACCTGCTTCCCTCAGCCCCCAAACCGTGCCATCAGGCATCGCCCGTTGTGCCTTGAGGGCAGACCATGAACTCTTCAGTCAGGTGAAGGGGTACATGCAAAGTAATCGACTAACCACTTCTGACACCGACACTTAGAGCAGTGTCCAGCTAGCTTTGGGGAGAAGAGGTCCCATCTGCAGCCGGGCCATCTGTCTGCTACGTCCTGGCCACCTCATAGGAGAGGCGCCGGTCCCGGCCATCTTATTAGGGTTCTGTTTGGAATAAGGCCCAACCAGAAGACAAATTCACATGAAGCCAATTTCTTGCCATGAGGGGTGGCCTGAGAGTGCGGAGCACGAGTCTGTGTTTTGTGTAGTTTCAATCGCACATGGCCCGCAGCACTCGCCTAGCTGGGTAGGGCAGGGGAGCGGAGAGTCAGGGCGGGAGCACCAAGCAAGCTGGTGCCGAGCAGGGCCTCCGGGGCGGGACTCGAGCTTCAGAGGGTAGGGCAGCCTTGCAAACTAGGGCAATAACTCCTGCTGGGTCCTGAACCTGAAGCGGGACCATGGGGACCACCCCCCTGCACCCCAGTTGACCCGGACCCTGGGGCCCACTGAGTGCTTTGGGGCCAGCACTCGGGATGCACAGGACTGAGGTTAGCCTAGGCTTTGGAGGGTGGGGAGACCCTCCTGGGACTCCACATCTCGGGGGACTGCTCAGCTGCCCCCACCCAGTTTCACCAGGGTCTGCTTGGCTGCCTCGTGAAGTGAGGGAACGTCACTCTCCTGTGCAGCACACCCCTTCGTGGCCTCCTCCCGCCAGCCACGCCAAGCGGCATCCCACACGCAGGACGAGCTGGGGCTTTAATTCCACGTCACCCTCTTGGTGGAAAGAGAACGGGACGCGGAAAGCCCAGATTCCTAGGGCTGGTCTCCTGGCTCCCGCCTCCGGGGCTTGCCTCAGTGGCGCCTCCTCCCCAGCTTCCTCCTCTGCGGAACGTGACAGGTAACAACAGTTACATGAACTTCTTACCCTTGTTCACACCGTGCGGCGCCTTCGGATGCACAAGACGCTCGGTGGCCTCTGAAAGACGCGGCCGGGGCGGGCGTGTAGGTGCTGACGCTCCCTGGAAAAACCAGACATGGAGGCTCTTTTCTCCCATTTATTACAGAACAAAGGTGAGACGCACCGGCCGGAAACAGACGCCAGATCGCCAACGTAAGGGTGAAAACGAGGTGGCGATTCAATGGGATACACAGAGTCTGGACACTGAGCAAGGTTTACAGGACAGACACGGAAGAATACAGGACGAGAACTGCAGAGCGCCACCGTGAAGGACACACCCCGAACCCACTGTTATGTTTACAGCTTTCCCCCCAACCCGCAGGGCCTTACATCAAAACACATACTGAAAGGCTTTGCACATCTCCCCGCCAGGCAGGGCCCGAGCGCCGCCCTGGAGCCCCTCCCTGGCGGGCGAGAAAGGAGGGCTCGCCCGCGCTCGCTCCTCCCTGGCCCGCGTGCAGAGAAGCCCGCCTCGGGGGCCACGCAGGGGACACAGCAGGAGAGAGCGAGCAGCGACTGCAGAGCTTGCAACAGAGACCACCACGCCCGGGCAGAAGAAATTCTAGTGAAAATGCAAAGAGATGGCCCAGCGGCTTTCGCTTTGGCATTTGCCGGTTGGCACGACACGTCTCACAGGCGCGCTGCGGTGGAAGCCACAGCCGCCCCGCCGCCCGGCCGCCGCGGGGTCTGGAGCCACGAACAGTGCAGATTTGCAATAATGTATAATCAACACAAAACAGTACATAATAAACACAACTCTACGAAAGCCGTCACTTTATTTACAAAGTCACAAAACGAAGTATAAATACTTCTGTCATTAATGTCTAGGAAAACCATTTACAAAATTTTCAAATATGTACAGGTAGCTTGAAAATCACCAGCTCTCCATGTTGTCACGGCGGGGGAGAGGGAGGCGCCCGGGCTGAAGCCACTCACACTGCAATGAGGGAGAAGCTGCGCGGCTGGCGGGGGCAGCTGGGAATCTGCCACGGGTTCAGGCCACGCCCCACGGTGGTGTCCAAGTGGGGGTTCTATGCGTGTTGGAGTTGGAAGCTCCCCAGCGCCCTGGGGGGCGGGGCCAGCGCTCTGGGCTGAGGCCTTTTGGACAGCGGCCTGCTGTCCCAAAATGTCATCGATCAGCCGCAGGTCACACACCCAGGCTTCATCGGGGCTGGTGCTGGGGCCTTTCAGGAGAGCCTCGATGACACCCTCCTCACTGCAGTCAGGGGGTGGAAGGACATCACTGGGTGGGGACTGGGTCAAAAAGTCATAGGGTGGCAGCTCAGGGGGGGTACCCGAGCTCTTGAGCGGACCCGGGGACGGACTGGCAGCGATGGCAGAGGCGGCAGTGGCAGCAGCAGCCACATAGCTTGGCGGCTCGATGCCCTGGATGGGACTTAGGGGGTGTAAGTGGGCCACGCCCTGTTGGAGGGACGTGGTGGCACTCAGCACAGGCACGGGGCCCCGAACTGGGCTCTGTCTGAGGTTCTGGCTGCCCAGCAGGCTGAAATTGGGGTTGACTAGGGCAGCACCCACCTTCTGGCCAGACCTGCCTCCTGGTGCCCCCTGATTAGGGGGCACAGCTGCGTGCTGTGATGGAAACACTGAGGCGGCCAGGGGGACTCTCCCAGGTACCTTGGCGAAGTTGGAGTTGCTATTAAGACACTGCTGCATGCTATTATCTGTTCTGCTTGGGGGTGCTTCCCTTGAGACTGCTGTGGCCCCAGCTGCCACCGACGCCCCCCATGTGGCATTGTTGAACACGATGGGCATTCTTGGCACACAGGGCTGTCTAAGCTGGTGGGGACTTGGGGGCTGGCTGCCCAGCGGGCTGGGACAGAACCCTGACAGGGGCACCCCCAGGGAGGCAGCCCTGGGAGTCTGTGCGCGCTGGCAGACAGAGCCCAGTCTGCCCGCAGGGTTTGAGCCAGAGTGTAAGGGGACGGGAGCATGGAGGCTGGAGTGGAGGGTCCCCGGGGCCGCTGAGGTCATGCCCATGCCTGCCTGGCTCTGGTGCCTGGTAGGTGGGATGGTCCCCGGACTCGGGTTGTGAAGGAGGCCAGGTCTGGGTGGCATCTTGTGCTGGCTGGACGGGGGGCTGGCCTTGGTCCGGCTACACTTGAAGGTGACTTGTTCTTGGACGGCTACAGAGAGAGAGAGTGGAGGTCAGTTCTGAAGGCGTCTGCCGCTTGGGCTGCCGCTGCTGGCAGGGAGGTCCAGGCTGGCACTGACCTCTCCCTCCCGCCCTTGGCTCCTGCAGAGCACGCCCTGCTTCCCAGCTCTTCTTAGCCCCCGCTAGACTGCAGCTCTTTTGGGAAGCCTGGACTCCCCAGATCTGCACTCACTGCCCCCTGCCAAGAGCAGGTCATATGGGACCAAAAGTGCCAGCTTCTCTGTCTCCCCCAGGCGACAGCAAGCCCCGCAAGGCCAGGGTCTGATTCTGAGAGACCCGGTCCTGTGTGCCCACTGACTACCCCCTGGCCCCCATGGCACTTGACTGCCCTGCCCTGCAGCTGCGGTGTCGGGCTGACCAGCCACCACAGCCTGGTCAGCCAGGACACTGAGCTGGCCCTGGGCACAGCAAACAGGGGGCCTTGCAGGAGAAAAGGAGCTAAACTGAAGAGGCCCACTCCCTGCTGGAGGGCAAGCAGCCTCCCTGGAGCCCCAGGAGAGAGTATCCCGGCCTGGCCCAGCGACAGTGCCCTGGTAGTGAGGCCCACCTTACCTGTGTCTCTCCCGCCAGTCGCTAAGCTCCATGGCCCAGGCGGCCCGGCCTGTTTTGTTTGCTAACAGTCAGTGCCCCCCATGTTGATTATACTTGTAGCTGTGGCAGTTGCTAGTGTCAGGGTGCGGGCCCCTGTTATCTGCAGAGGCTCTGGGAGACCCCGTCACAGACTCCTGGGGACAGTTTCTCCACCCCTGTCCCCATGGCCCACACCTCAGACATGGCCCAGGAACCCATGAGAAAGGCAAGGCCACGCCAGCAGCTGGGGTGGGGGCAGGCTTGTTTGATTGTGACAAACGCCCCAGGGACTGTGCCCTTCTCCCATTGAGAACAGCTGCTTTGAGGGGCCTGACCCAGTTTAATCCCAGTCGTTACTTCAGAGTCGTGAGACCTGGCCCTGACCAGGGCCTGCACGTGAGCTTTCACTGTGACGGTTCCAACCCGGGGCAGGGCGCTATAATGGTCGTGCATGCAGGACCCCCCATACTTTCAGAAACCCCACTGCTTACCGGGCGGTGGAGCCTCACCCCACCCTCACATGTACCCCTTGGCCTGTACCTTTGGGGACATGGCCCTTAACTGCTTACCTTGAAATTGACTCATCTGTTGGGCGATATATGCACTTCGCTGCTCAGGGGTCATTGCCATAAGACCTGATCTCTGCTTCTCTTGCTAAATGGAAGATGGAAAAGATGTGTAAGAGGATGGCTACCAAGAGGCCTTAGCCTTGGGATCGCTGCGTGGGGACCCAGGACTTGGCTTTGGTGTAGCGGAAAGCATGAGTGAACACGCCAACACACGGCTGCATGCACGCCCCCCACCCCCAGCAAAACTCCACAGGTATGAACAAAGTCAGACTGCATCTGGGTTAAAAAACCAACTGCAATAGCATAGGATGGGGCAGGAGAGACAGAGCTGAACAGCAAGAGCGCAGAGAAAAAAGATTTAGGCCACTTGAATGTCCCTCTGCTCAGATGGGTCAGCAGTGAGATGTGGTCACCAAAAGAGCAAATTAACATTAGGCTGCATTAATAGAAGCAGAGTATGTAGAAGGAGGGAGGTGACAGTCCTACACTACTCTGCCTTGGCCAGACCATGGCTGCAGTGCTGACAAGAGTCAGTCTTCTCAGGGGGACCCTGATGGACCGGATGTGTTCAGAGAGCAGTCAGCGGTGAGGGCGTGGACTTCAAACCATGCAGTCACGAACGACTGAGAAAACCCGGTGCTGTGACTGGGGCAGAGCAGATGCTGGGGCAGGCAGTGGTGTGCCCGGTCTCTGCCAGACTGTCACAGGGAGAGGAACGAGGCTTGTTTTGGGTGGTCCTGGCATGCACAGCAGGATGGCAGCATGGTCACATGGACCCCGGTCCAACACTGACAGCCACCCCCTGCCGACTTCCCTTCGTGTCCCTGACTGGCCATGGGCCTTTGGGATGAACTTCCTGTCTCCAGCTCCCAGCTGGTGGGCAGGGGAAGGAGCCTAGTTGCTGTGCCAGCACTGGGCCTGGGAGCGCCTCCAGGGCTGGTGGGGACAGCAAAAGCAGGAGGGAATCAAACGAAGGCTTCTAGGCCCGAGAAGGCAGGACTTACCCTGTGACCCTCAGCCCTTGGGTGCCAGATGGTGACTGGTACCAGGTGTGACTCCCAGCCCAGTGCTCACCTGTGCCTCTCTCCCCCACCCCTTCTCCTGCTGGCTAGTATGCCAGAGACCAGAGCAGCTCCACCAGGGAGCATTGCCCTCTGGGTATGCCCCCCACTCCAGATGCCAGAGGACTTGGCCCTACAACCTGGCCTGCGTGTCTGAACTCAGAGGGGCTGGCGCAGGGCGGGTCGGAGGCCGCTCCTTGGGTGTGTGCCCGGCTCCCAGGCCTGGCAGCAGCCCCTGCCTCAGTTCCTGCCAAGGCAGGGAGGACAAACACATGGCACTGGGAGAAATGAGTTTGCCAGCATGGGATTTGCTTCTCCATCCCGCCGGTCCTTTACTTGCTGCCTGTGCTTGAGGCCTGCCTCCCTCTCTGGGGTGCTAAGATGCAGGCAGTGGGGTGCTGGCTCTCAGGGGCAGGGAGGGCCTGCTCTCTTCATGTGGGTCCCTGGAGTGAGCACTGCCTACTTCCCAGCTTCTTGCAGTGACCCTTTGAAGCCACCACCCTGTCATCCCAGTGTGACCACAGGGGTCACGTGGCCACCCAAGGCTGGCTCCCCATCAGGAAGTGGGGAGCCCTGGGACCCATTGAGATAGTCCTCAGGGCCAGATGAAGCCCTTTCCCTCCTGTTCTTTCACCAGCTTCCTGGCGCAACATCTGAGGCTCAAAGGAGTGAAACGACTTGTCCAGCGCGACAGGCGGGGAGGAGCCACGTCTCCTGGGGGCAGCCCCCTCGGCAGGGCGCTTGCCGCCTCTGCAGTCCACCGCCCTCTCGGCTGCCTCCTGCGCCCCGCTGGGCCACAGGGGCTCCAAGGCCGTCTCCACAAATGTCCCATTAGTGCCACCCAAGAACACAGTGGACAGGGGCTGGGTGGGGGGCAGGTGGTGGCTACAGGTTGCACCTGAAGGAAGCGCAGGGCCCTAGAGAGGAAGGGTGACCCCCGCGAGCAGAAATCTAAAGAAAAGGCCAGCAGATCTGGAGGGTGGAGGGCGCGGAGTGCCTGCCAGATGGAAGGCTGCGCTGCTGCAACAGCTGGGCCAGAGGGACGAGGGGTGTGGGCAGCGCTCATCCAAGGAAGCGGGAGTTACGGAGTGGCCGCAGCTGAAAGGGCAGTCTGCTCGGTCACCCCCAAGAGGCAGCAGGCAGCTGACACCCAGCCCTGGGGGCCGGGCCTCTGGCATCCTGAGGTGCTTCTGCCCTGAGGCCCGGGTCTCAGGCAGCAGCAGCACCCTGCCCCAGGCTGTGGGCCTGCTGGCTCTGGCTGCGCGCGGGCCAGAGCGGGTCTCCAGGCGTCCCAAGGGGGCTGCGTCCTTTGTTCTGAATCAACGTGCCGCAAAGATAAGCCCCAAGAAAACAGTTGTTGCCTTTGGACACTGACAATTAGAATCGTTGGAAATGGAGGAAACAGGAAATGACAAATGTTTTCAGTGACCAGGAGGAAATGGTGGCTGAAAGTGGCTGCTAGTGACACAGGACGGCCGGCAACCTGTGGCTTTTCCTCAGCACAGCTATGGACGAGCGCATCAGTGACTTGCTTTTCTCAGGCTGTGACCGTCAGGGCGCCTGGTACTCCTGTGCTAGGAGATGCTGGCAGGGCAGTGCCAGGAGCGCCCTGTGTGATCCCGGCAGTGTCCCCCCTCGTCGTCACCCTGTCCCTGCCAGCCTGGGGGTGAGCTCAGCAGGAGGTCTCCTGGAGAACCAGGGCCTGGCTGTTGCCCTGTCGCTCCTCTTCCCAGTGCCTCACAGCCAAGGGGCCCCATCCATAGGATGATGACCCGAAAGTGCTGGGGCTGCCTTCCTAGAAGCTTCTTGCTGATGCCCAGGGAGCTGCGGAGCCCTCATCTGTCGTGAGGGGCTCATGCAAGGGCTGGTGCCTCATCTGCAGGAAAGAGAGGCGAAAGGCCAGGCCCATGGCACAACACTGCCACTGGCACAGCAGGCCCAACCCGGGCCCAGCAGCAGACCAGGCCACGGGCTGTGTCAACTTCACACCTCAGCCACCTTGGGCAGGTGTCTCCTGAAACCCCCCTACCACCTGGATGCTCCCCCTCACCACTGCAGGGAAGAATGTTCTCCCGAACCCACTTAACCACTTAATCAGGAAAAGGGGTTTCAGGTGGGGGCCGACTCCAGTGGGTCAGATGAGCAGGACTCGCATGCAGCGGCCCACAAAGGACTCCTGGGTTTCAGTTGGATTCAAACTGAAGTTACCCATCCCATGACCCTGCAACCAGGAAGGGGGTGCCCATAGCTCCTTGGGGACAGCAGGGCAAGGAGGCAAGCACCTCAGAGGGAGGGGGAGGGGCAAGGGCAGTAGAGGGGGCAGGGGGAGGGGCAAGAGGGATGGGGAGGAGGGCGGGAGGACAAAGGTGGGCGAGACAGAGGGAGGAAGGGAGGAGGAGGAAGAGGAGGAGGCGGGGGTGGCTGCAGGGATGTGAAGGTCAGGGAGCTCTGCGCAGGCCTGGTGCCGCGGCCCTGGGAAGAGCGCCTTCTCGGGAAGCCGCGCAGTGGATTTGGAAACAACTCGCCCTCTCTCCTGACTTTTCCTTTGAAATGACGGAAAGTCAGCATTCTGCCGGAGACCACGGGAGCAGCACCTGAATCCGGGGGCCCCACTCCCCTATGGACAGGGAACCCTCAGACCTGTGGGCTGTGGCAAGGTGGGTATCTGCGGAGGGGTGTGGATGCTCTTAAGCTACAATTCTCCTCAGGTATCCTCCAGAAGCGGCAGGGACTCCCACAGGGAAGGCCAGTGTTTCCTAGTCCCTACTGAGGCTCAGAGCTCATGACTCAGTTTCTCTAGAGTGCCATCAGGCCACTTCCCTCCTCAAGCCATCAGGGCCAAGATGGGGGTGGGCACACACGTGCCCTGCGGTGGCGTCACCTCTGACGGCGGCCCCAGGAGGGAGCCTGCCCAAACACCTGGCAGGTACAGCTGACTTGGCGCCCAGCACCCCTGTCAGTCAGCAGGCGGCCCTTTGCCCTGGGCTCCCAGGCAGAGGGAGAGCCCTGCGCCTCTCTGCTCTCAGGGAGCCAACCACCGCAGGGGAGCCCGACACGACACAGCAAGTCAATCCAAGGCCACTCTCCTGCCTCCCTGCAAAGGGATTAACAAAGTTGTTTTCCTAAACCTGGCATCGTGGCCTCTGCCCGTGCACACAGAGCAACAAGGCCATAGCACGGAAGGAGGACCCAGGACGTGGTGGGTGCAGCAGGGACTGCGAGGGGCCTCAGAAGCTGCCACCACATCGTCCACACAGGCTCAGAGGCTGCGGAGAGCAGCAGCTTGCTGGGATCCTTCCACAGCCCCTGGTTTCCCGTGGTCCGGTGCCAGGCCACCCCCACAGGGATGGGGCTGCCCTCAGGCAGGAGCCGGTCTGAAGCTGCTGGGGGGGGGGAGATGTCACAGAATCAATGCCCTCTCTCCTCCCTCCGCTGGGCTCTGGGCCGCTGCTCCGGGAAGGGCCAGGTCTCAATGCTGGTCGCGACAATCGGGCAGAGGAAACACGTGTCTTTGCAGCCCGCCTTCTTCTTCCCCTGTGGTGCCTGCATCCTCTGTCTGGCATTCAGGGGCCTGGCCTTCCTGAGTTGCCGGTCGAGCTGCTGCATTCTGGCCCTCCGCGTCCCCCAGGTGGGCCCAAGTTTCCTAGGAAGATTTGGGGACCAAATATCTATCCCCACCCCTCTGCAGCTGGGTGGGAGGTGGTGGGTGGGAAGAGGCGTAACGAGGTGTGGGGCAGGGCTTCGCCAGGCCAGCTCGCTGGCATCCGAGGACAGGGAAAGGCAGGGCTGACCAGGGCGGGACGCAGTCACATCCTGAGTGGACGCTGTCCCATCTGTTCTCTTAATTGTTTCCCTGGCAGCTTTGTGCTGGACAGGATTGCCCGGGGCTCAGCTGCAGGGCACTGCGACTTCAGGAGCAGACAGAGTGGGGGAAGGCAGGGAGGAAAATCAATAGCTCTCGGAGGGAGGCACGGCTTGTTCTCCTAGGCTGGACGGAGCAGGCAGGAGGAGGAGAGCGCGGCCG